TAACAGACAAGTCTCTCATTTCTCACACCATCTGCCCATCTGCACAGCAATCTATCTCGGAACAATATAACGTTCACAATATGTACGGTTGGTCTCAAGCCAATGTTTCTCGAGGGTAAGCTTACTCTGTTCAAGTTTAGGTGTACTGTATGAAATTGTTTACTGTCAGCAGGGTTTTGCTATTTTTCTGGAATGATCCGTCTCGATTTTTTTTCTCTGTACTCAATACAGGAAACTATGAAGCACCGCCTGATACCACTAAAGCAAGAATATTGAACAGCCAGTATTGTACTAGGCGGATAAAAAAAAGTCATTTTCGAAGTGGGGTACAAGCAGAGAGTTTAGTACTAGCTTTGCACATAGTAAGAAACGTAACGTTATGATAACATTACGTGGCACGATACCAACGAAAGGGTGACCAATGTAATTGAAAAAGACCGTAAAAAGCCTCTTTCGTCTTTGAAACTTCTGACTCGAAACGACAAGACAAGTCTCCTCTGTGTGTGTGAGTGTGTGTGTGAGTGTGTGTGTGTGTGTGTGTGTGTGTGTGTGTGTGTGTGTGTGTGTGTGTGTGTGTGTGTGTGTGTGTGCATTTCAATCGTTTTGGTGGAATTCTATTAAATGGAACCTGTGTTTTGCCCCCCACGGCCCACACAAGACATTTTCTGTAGCTTGCTTTGGCCCATGGGGTTCACACATATTATGAACATGATGTGGCACACTTCCCTCTGTCTTGTATTCTTCTCAGTTAGTAAATCAGTGGGAACACGCATATTTTCATAAATATGGAGTCCCTCACTAATAATATTTTACACCGACTCAAACAAAAGGCTTGCCATGTCGATATAATGTTTGTATAAAAGTATGGGGGTCTTGCACAATAGTACATGTGTATGGTTCTAGAAATTATAAACAGTGTTCTAGTTCACTACGAAATTTGAGTGGTCAGAACGTTTGTTATCAAATTATGCGTCACTCCCTTCACTAAATGTTTCTTACCCAACGATAAACTGTGTTATAGGAACATGCAGATTCTTTACAGACATTCTGCAAACTACCAATTGGTATGCAGTGCGTAAAGATTCAAAACGGGTGTTTTCTTTCTGGAACTTCGTTTTGCTTCTTCCAGAGCGCAAACCATCCTTTATTTGTGACATCATCATGGAATTATCAAGTGTAACAACACACGAAACACCAATGATTGGCTCAAGAGCAGACATGTTCGACATTAGAAGTCTTTTTCTTTCCGAACACATTATTGTTTTGATATTCTCATTATTCAGGCTGAAAATCAATTCAATTGGTCTTCTCTTTCAGAGTCCTAGACACCTTGTTCCAAGGGAAACGTTCCCTGCTCATCTCCCGCTCCACCTTTGCTGGTTCTGGAAAGTTCACCGGTCACTGGCTGGGTGACAATTATTCCGGGTTTATTGAAATGGCTTTTTCTATCCCAGGTGAGGGTTCGACAAGCTTTGTCTGGTTTGTTCTGCTCAGTAATAAGTTCACTTGCGAAAAAGAAGAAGTTACAAAAAAGGTAATTCTGAAGAACAAGCGGGAAATTACTGCGTTAGTATGAATTTCCGTTTGCAGTGGGCATTCTAAAACTTTCTTATACAGTATTAAAGGAACGTAATTGTTACGTTGCATTGTGCATATACAATATTTTTCAATCATAGTTTCCAAAATACGTGTTGGAAATGTATAAACTAAGCTTTTTTCTCTCTTAATATGTCATTTCAGGAATATTGAACTTCAACCTGTTTGGTATCCCTCATATTGGCGCAGATATCTGCGGCTTCTTGTGGCTTGCAGATGGAGAGCTGTGTGTGCGCTGGCACCAGCTGGGAGCCTTCTACACCTTTATGAGGAACCACAACGGATTACACTTACCTGTACGTTTAGTAGTTTTTTGTCCCATTATGTTACTCACATATTTATAAAATACCATATTATCTGGAACAGTCATCAGTAATCATGGTTTCTTTCAGAACAAACTTAAATATTTTTATTTTTTTTACTGTCCTGTTCATGCACTTTGTTATAGTGTATCGCATCTTGTCATTCTTGCTGATATAGATAATTAGTTGCCATGCTGAGTACATGTATACGCACTTCTCGTCAGAATCCGAAACCGCAAACATTTTTTAATTACTGGGACAAATACGCAAATAATTAAAGCGACAAGACCTTTCCCGATAGCAGCATCTGACTCAAGAAAAGTGACAACAAAACGACCCTTTAGACGTTAGGTAGCAGTGCCCCCCCCACCCCCAGGATCAAACAGCTTGATTTTGATATCATTTTCAGGGAAATTGTATTTCTCTTTTTTTCCTATGTCCGTCCTTTTCTGTAAGGCTTTTTTTCTTTCCGGTTAACATTATAAATGTTGTTTATATTATATAGTGAGGTGCAAAAAAACCCCGCGATTTTTTAATGTTGTTGTAATCGCCCAATGCTGAGTTCATAGTTTTGTGATACGAACTCGTATCACTCAACACTTGCCTCGAGAGTCTTGATATGGCATTTTTGAACGTGGCAAAGATGTCCTTGGCTGCGTAAACAATACACAGCTCACGAGTCATCACTTACCACTGGGACACACTTGCAACTTATTTTTTTTTAATTTTTTTTTGTGTATTTCATATAATTGATCTTAATCCTAAGTGTCGAACCGTTCCAATCATTCTCTGAAACAATGTGTTTTTATGTGTAAAAAGTAATGAGTGCTTGTTGCGTTATTATCCTTTAGGACCAAGACCCCGCCGTCTTTCCTTCACCGTACAAGGATTACATCCGACTTGCCTTGCAGCTACGCTACCGCCTCCTGGCAGTCCTCTACAACTACTTCTTTGAGGCTCACATGCTGGGCAAACCCATCATTCGGCCGTTATTTTACCTGTAGGTTTGTTCAGTAGGAGTTGGAGACATATCACAAAAATTAAGTTTTGGTGCTTACTTCTGGAAAATATTTTTTAAAGTTGCATATTAGTCTCAAATCCAGAAACGATTTAATGTTCTCAAATCATGTGGACGTCTTGCAGTTTCAATAATTTAGTGCCAACTGTCTGTTACGAGTTGTTTATTCAAACCGAAGGAATGATTTTGGCAAGCACGATTTGGCCAGCCTGTGCTTGTCTTTGCCCTTTCAGGCTGCTTTGGGACATAAAGTATAACAACCTGTCAGATATGTTGTGAGGATGCGCGGAAGGGGGAGGAGGGGGGGGGGCAACATTTATTTTCTATCCTTTTTGGTTCGAATACCTCTTTTTATATCCTGATTTCTTATTTATTATTTCTCATGGTGAAAGGAGAAATTTATCTCTTGAGTGGCTTTACGAGCATTCTTGTTTTTTAGAAAAACTGTATCACAATTCAAAAAGAAGAAAGAGCACAGTAGACTACATATTGACACATGGGTAGGTACTTTGATAAGTGCACATCTGTCCTCATGGGGGGTGTTGTTGTTTGTTTGTTTTTTAGAAGGAAGGAGATGAGACATTTACAATAATTCATTTCTTTGTTTCAGTGATATAACTTGTGTCACGACGAATGAAGTTTAGTGCGTGCCATACCCTCAATCTGAACTCCATTTACTCTATGGATATCTGTTATTAACCGTCCAACTAATAGTTTCTTTTTTCTTTCTTTCTTTTTGCGCTTCAGCTATCCTGGCACAGAGCAAATTGACGCACAGTTTATGTGGGGACAGGACCTTCTCATTTCACCAGTTCTTAAGCCGGTTTGGAGCTTTTGGTTTATCTCTGTTCTTTATTTTGATTTGATTTGTAACATAGTCTTCGGTTATCACTTTATGTAAAAGAAAAATGAAACTTCCAAATATTTATATGTGATCGTCGGGCTACAGTGTACAGCATGACATGAGATGGAAAGTTGAAGAACTCTGCCTTACATTGCATTATGTATTAATGTCCAGTATTTTGAGTTTCTAGAGGTGGGTATTTTGTGCTTGCTTTGGTGTGATTTATTCCTTCTTTCCTGTCGAACATATGTCATCCTTATCTCTCCTCCTTATCAATAAATAACTTATTTATTGTACGTTACTCTTTAGGTCGTCGGCTCCCAGCTTCAATTTTTACTTTATTAACAAACTATATTTACCTCCTGGTTTCTTTAGTCTGTTGGGATATGTTGATCTTTAGTGTTTTCGAAGTCCTCAAGTCACTGGCTGTCAAATCAAAATCATTTTCATTTTGTTCTACTTCTCTCTTTGAAACTGTAAGGAACATCAAGTATGGAAGTGTATGGAGTCTTTTCATATTTTAACGTTGACAAAGTCCAGTTCAATACTGGTACATAATTAGAAGATACGGTGCGATTCTAACATGGTTGCTCCTTCAAAGATGAGGCGGGGGTGAGGGGGGGGGTCTACTTCTGATAATTGCTTGGGGGGGGGGAGATTTTTTTAGTGTTATGAAACACACTAGGTCCTCAATTCAGACCTGGCTTATCTCTTTATAGCGTGCAGTATCTGTCAAGGCATACATTCCCAAAGATACCTGGTTTGATTTCTACACCGGAGCACAGTTGGATACAGTCAATCAGTGGGTGGATCTCGCTGCTCCTCTGGATCATATCAACGTGCATGTTCGTGGGGGCTCCATCCTGCCTCTGTTACCAGCAACAGAACGCTCAGACTTATCGTAAGTGTCAGTTGATTTGTAATGAGTCAAACTTTGCAGTACTATATCTAAGGAATGTACAGTGGCCAACACATTGGATGCAAACTATATTATACAACATTGGAATCAAACTTCAAGTATAAATAATGCCCATAACAAACAGAAACCAAAATGAGGCTTAGTCACAAAAGGCACATTTTTTAACTTCCTGACTTCATCTGCCAACCATTTAAAAGTAAGCAGGTTTATAATTATACTATAATGAGACTGAACACCAATGAATGAGCCAAATTTATACAAATCCACTTGATAGTGTCAGAAATAACTGCTCATTCAAAATAACAACAACCCAGAACACCATGATCGAAACGAAAACAGGAACGAAGTATTTTTTAAATTTGATTCAGATAATCGGAACTTTGAAGTAGAGCGCTACATAAATGCAATCTATTTTTTAAATATTAATTATTATTATTACTACTTTGTGTGACTTTTTGTTTGTTCTGATAATTTTTCTTCAATTTTTAAATATTTTTTTTTACAAATGGGTAGCTTTAATTATACCCCTCCCCCCTCCCCAAACGAGCAACTAAAGACTTAACTTCAATTATTCAGTTGTACAAGCACACTTATGTTATCGGCTTTTCATTTAAGAGAAAAACAACGTTCATTCTGGTGTGGCACATCCTCTTTTCCTGACAGTCGTAAAGAAAAGTTCCAACTGCTGGTCGCCCGGAATTCCTCGAAATCTGCCTTTGGTCAGCTCTACTGGGATGATGGTGAAAGTCGAGGCAAGTCTTAAGTTAGGGGCGCTGAACTTTGATATTTTAATTTCTTAAAGGTTTATCTTATAAACCCCTCTTAAACCTCACTATGCTAAAAAAGAAATGTACTTTCGAAGGCAGAGAGACATAGACTCCATTACATGAATAACTCTATCATTGTATCATTGGAAAAATAATAATTTTTTAATTCAATTTTTTTTAAAAATCATTCCTAGTTATTTTGCTGAAACTGGTTTCGATACTTTAAAAAATCTTTTCAGTTCTATAGGCCTACTCACCAAATAATCCATCCACGTTAATCATCACCCTTAGATGATGGTATTAAACATTTGGTTCGTATCCACTCACCTCGTATGCATTGCGCACTATCTAATACAGTGGAATCCTGTTATAACGAGAGGGAGGGGACCGGTGCGAAAATTCCGTTATAGCAGGATTCTCGTTATTAGGGATCCAGTAATAAATTCAAGGGAAAAAGTAAAGTAGGGCCTAATCTATGAGTTTGGTGTTCTGTTTATTCCTTTTTCTATTTCTCCTGATGATGGTTTTGTTCAACCTGATCTCTAGGTCTTACTTGATCAAAAATCGAATCTGGTTTCTTTCTCTAGCACTAGCAATGTTGACAGAAAGAAGGGGCTCTGGCTCTAGGCTAACTTGCCCGCTGTGTTGTTCCCCACCCCACCACACTCTGTGGTGCGTTGCGTCTGCTTGCGCACGTCACACATTCACTCCATCTATCATAGCATTGTGACCTCTCCATCCTGCATCAGAGGCACGGTATGCCTAGGTAGGTCTAATCTAGACTGGGCTGGCCAATCATGCGATGCGTTCTGCTTGTCTGCGCATGCCACACCCTCCCCACTCATTCGCTCCGGCCTTCATTGTTGGTTCGCGTGGGCTCTCCCGTTCTTTGTTTCGCTGGATCACCAACAACTTTCTCAACTGGCGAGGTTTTATATGTTTAATTGGTCTGTCTGCTGTGCACAGCAGCAGCATTATTCCGCTGTAACCGACTCGCGCGACTGTCTGATTGCGCAATAGCAGTATTTTATTTACAAAGATAAAGAAGGGAAAAAAACGGGGTTTTAAAATAGTGTCTTTACAGCAGACTTCTCGTTGTTTCAGCACTCGTTATAAGTGGACTCCACTGTAGTATCAAAACAGAAAATTCTTCTTATTCGACATACAGACATGCATACAAACCCTCAGTCGAGACATATTTGACATTATGACTTAGTCACATGCCTAAACTGTTCACTAATACCTATTTCCCTGCAACAATAACACACACTAAAATTGGCACTTGCATTATACTTTCTCCTCATACAGTACTATTGTATTCGATTTTTTAAACCCCCCCCCCTTTTTTTCCTTTTTTCTTCCAGACAGTATATCAGCAAAGAAATACTCCCACATTATCTTCATTGCGTCGGACGTATGTACATCATTTTTTTTTTTTTTGCAGAATTAATTAATTACTTGTTTGGTTTAACTCCAGACCTTTTCCCATCTTTGGCGAATAATAATAATTTTTCGGTGTCAGTAGGATCTTTTCAGGGGTGCAATGTGACCTAATCAAGTGTTGATGCATGACAGGAATTCACTGCTGTTTACTATTATAACTGATAAGTTGATTTTGCAAGCCCTTAAAGAACTCTTTCAAGACTAATTTACTATTGTTCACATCATCTCTGCTCTTGCTGTTTGGTAGGCACCCCTTTGCAGCTGGGTAAAGGGAGGGAAATAAGAAGAACAAATCTTTAAATTTTTTGTGATATATCGGTTGACCATTTTGCCGTCACACTTAGAAGACCCGAGCTCTGTTCCCGTTTTATCAAACATCTAGGTCTTTTTGATGTGACGCTGTGTCCCTCGAAGTCTAGCTTGCTCCTTACAGGCAAGGTCAAAGCCGGCTCCTATATTATCTAAATTGTTTCGATGGGGACGTAAAAACACCTATATTAAACAAAAGAATCTTTCAGAAGGAATCTTGCACCCTAACAGGTCTATTTGGTATTTCCGTCGTAGTATAAACTGCTGTTGCAGTTTGCTGCTGCTGCTACTTTTTTTTTTTT